CTAGCCGAGCCTTCACTCCTCAACTACATTTGATAGCACGTTTACTAACTATCTGGAAGACTAGGGGCCACAGGCAAGAAATATTTATGACTGTACTCTTATTTTTATTGCCATTCCAATAGAGAATGGATAGACCATCGCCTTTTAGAGTACCTATTTTTGCATACTGCGCAAAAATGGTATTGTGCCCTCTCTTCCGGTTGAACTGATGCAGTATGTCTACACCAGCTGAATATAACATTCCCAAAAACGCATTCATTTCATCGAAATCGGTAGCAAGGCAATCTCTTTCTCCGCTAAATAATGGTTTCCTCCTGTCAAGTTGTTTATTGGTGCAATCTGTTATATCCTCAATAATTTCCTTTGGGAAATAGAGTTTCCAACAATCTATTATTGTTCGTACATTTTTAGCAACTTGTTTCACACCAGGAAGCTGAGTAACTGTATTTTTGCGGGGGTTTTTCGTGAATGTGGTTGCTTGTGGACCAACCATTTAGTTTCGTCTTTTCCTGTGTATACTAAATCGCTTGAATCACTAGAACAGAACTGCAATAATTCTTGATCTGTATTATCTTCGGAATTTGATTGCTCTGAATCGGTGTTGTTTAAACTGTGCTCAGAACCTGCATCTTCACCGGTGGACTCTAGATCAGGATCGTATGATACTCCTGCTTCATCTTCTTCCAACATTTCATCCCAAACAGCTTGCAGCCGCTTTTGCTCTTTTTGGTACCACATTATACAATATGTATAAATTCACAAAAACAAAATGTTTCTTTCACAATTTGATAAAATAATAACGAACGTAACTAGTCGCGAAGTTAGATTTCGTCTAACACAACATAAAATTTTCTACTATATAATCAGTCGCGTGTTAGTTACTAGCTAACATTTGAACACTACCTTTCATAAACAAGATTCATTCAAAAATGGTCTTGCACTTCAAGAAATAATATAAATAGGGTGGTCATGTACATTTCTAAGAAGGCATACCTGAGCGTACAAACCGATGGCGGGTTGAATTGAAAGGAATATATTTTTAAGATTGATTTTTTGGAATAGATTGCTTCCTTCTTTTTTTTGTAAGACTCTCATATTTTTCTGTATCACGATTCAGCAGTAGAAAGCCAAAACCTTTTTTCTCAAAATTATTCACTCCTAAAATTATCCCCTTCAATTCAACATGCTTTTTGCCGGGATTCAATCAAATAAGCAAATGAATGTCATCGATGATATGAGTAGATCAAACTCATTTCGTGACATGTAATCGTAGTTTCATGAATTAATTGTGTATTTTTCGTGTGAGATTATTCAGATTGGTACTGAAGAGCCCTAAGTAAGTGGCTTATAGCGAAACATTGGATATCTAACAATGAGGATGACAGTGTTCCATGAAAGTGAAATTTTTTCACCATTCATTTAGTATATTGTGTTGAAATCCTGTGAATGATAACTAATTAAATTTCATAACGAATGTTTGGAATGAAAACTGAGTAGAGAAAATCGTTTCTTGTATAATTCAATGTACATATTTGTTCCGAAATAATTTTTCTTCCGAATAATTCAATGTTTATATTGAAAGTAGCCGTTTGAGGAGGGCTTCTTTCAGTTTGCGTCTGAAAGTTACTTCTTTGCATGATCTACACTCTATGCATAAAATTGCTTTTTTCTTTTGTTCAAAAGATTCCTACATTTTATTGTATCAAGATGGAGTAGTAGAAAGCTAAGCACTTTCTCTTCCAAAAACTGAATTATTTATGAATAGTACAAAAATTATGAATGTGAACTTGCTTAGAATCTTCGGTTACCACAATTGCGAAATCAATAATAAAACAAGAAATCGAATAGGGACAAGCAAATTAAATGACCGTTCGCCGGACAAAAAGAAGGCTGAAAACACTTTTTATACGAAGATGAAGAACAATTACAAAAATAATACTCATTTGGAAAAATGACACTGGTCTAACATGATTTTGATAAGGATTGTGGCAGGGTGTGTTTACGGGAACGCCACTTATGAACATTCAGAAAACAGTTACCATGGAAAAAAATTATTTTTTTAGTGACGGGAAAAAGTTTGACATTTTATCTCTGATGATAGGTAACAAAATGTTACTTTTTATGAAACTATTTTTTTCTGCCGTTGATGTACCTGGTCGCAAATCGGGTGTGGGTGTTATTTTAGCACCGCCAAACGTTCTGAACACTTTATTAGCTGTTTCTGTCCTGTGTGCTACGGATTCATCAACATACCCTTAAGCGACCGTTGATAACTTCCAATCCCCATGTTTCTTCAGTATCATCAGGTCTCCCCCCAGATTCAACTAAAAGTGTAGCAGACGATCTATATGAATTGGCATTTTCAAGTTGAAGAAAATTAGCCACTGCTTCAGGTACCTCAAAAAACTGATTGCTATGATACATTTTCCATTGCGATATGCATAAAATAGGCGACGATCCTTTGCTGGTGCTGATGGAAGAAGGGCTATGTACCTTCAGTAAAATTTAATATATTCTTCCGTAACTACAAATCTCCTGCTTACATCATTCTTTGTTTGCTTGAGTTCTACAATTATTAACGTTTCCGAATCTTCAATATCATCTAATTTTACCTGGCTGATTTCACAAATTCGACAAGCTCCTGCAATCCCAAATACAACAACAACCTTGGTCATTAAATAGACTTCATCGGGAGCATTATTTAAAAACTCACTAATATGTGAACTCGTAAATATCGCAGCTCACTTGGGCGTGTAACCTTTCCCATTTTGTTTCAGAAATTGGAACATACTTTTGATCATTGAATAATTCGACCACACTGTTGATGGCTTCTGTTTCTGTGCCAATTCAGAAAAATGAGCCAATAACACCGTCTCCGAGAAAGAACTGCATGTCTTTTCCATCTTCCATTCCATGAATCTTGAATACGCAGTTTCATAAATTATCTGTGACGCTACTTTCGCTGCTTCTACTCCGGTGGAGTCAGAGAACACTCGGAATTAGACATTTTCCAAATCACAGAATTAAATTGACAGATATTTGATTTTCTATTGATTAGTTTCCTAACAACGCTATAAGTACAACAGCCTACCTGTTTAAAAATTCAAATATCACATCGATAACTTTCTGACTTCAACATATTATAATAATTTTTTTTTATCCAATATTGAATCGTTGTTTTTTCCGTCACAGATAAAAAATGTGTATTATACACGGGAAAAATATTAGATTTTAGCTCTCGGTTTTTTGTCTCCACAACACAACCTCGAGCTGAAATCTAATAATGTTTTCCCTTGTATAATAAATAATTATTTCATGCCTACTTTGCATGTACGAAAATTGAAAAATAGCCAAAGCATTATCAGAGATATTAGGGGAAAATATCCCGTATTTCATAAATTATCGTTATATTTTTCAAACAAATCTCTAGGTCAGAATAGGTATTTCTAGGACCACCTTGGTATACTGGAAAAATATCATATAAAATGGAAAGACTACTGATAGACAAAATAATAACATAGGATATACGACTGGGAAGACATATCAAGAACAACAAATATCATATAGACAAGGATAACAGATCAAGTGTCAATAATAATAATCATGCTCAAAATTTTATGCAGAAAAGTCTTCAAAAATTGCAAAATGAGAATTTTGAAACATATAAAAAGTTGTGAACTGAGGAATACCCCCTGTATGTGCTGCCCCTCGGAAAACAATCATGATTTTAATACACAAAGAAAATGAATGACACAAATGAATTCTGCTGAAGTCTCTGAAAATCAATAAGAGTAGATATTTCCTATTGAACGGCCAACAACAAGAAAACCACCCATCCTTTTCAAACCTTTTTTCTCAATGCCAATAATTTCATTCATATTTAAAATTTTCTTGTTGTCCAAGAACAAGATTGCAATTGTCCTACAAATTTCACCTATTTTCTCAAAATTGACCTACTGTCCAAGAAATGAGATTGTGATTTGATTTACAGGTAATACCTTGTATGTCATTCACTATAAACCAATTAGTTGTATATGAGAATTGTAGTCCATTGCCTCTGGGGAGACTCTGCACTGTCGGATAATGTCCTCGTATCACAAAAAAAAATCATTAGGTGTTTTGTTGGTGTGAGAAAAAACGATTTTTGTCGAGAAATCCTCAAAAGATATGGAATTCTGACCTGTACAGGCCTCTACGTATTTGAAACCTGTATTTTTGTGTTCATAAATAGATATTTAATTTTCATAAATAACGATTTCCACGAATACAACACACGTCGTAAGAATGATTTATGATAACCACTTTCTAAACGCAATATTTCCTATAAAGCTCTAGCTCGAATCGGCACAAAGATTTTCAACAACTTATCTTCCTCCATCAAAAGCTTGAAACATGAACGAATTAAAAAAAAACTCAAAGGATACCTTGTTGAGAAATGTCTGTAGTCTTTAAATGAATACTTATAACTTGAATTTTTATTTAATGTGAATCTGTATTTTTATGTAAGTCAATAATCTGTGTACTATGTATATGCATATTCATTATGTAGTTTTATATAATCCTTAATATATAATAATGTACTGTTATTCTCCTTTGGTACATTTCTTCATTTAAATCCCGACTCTACTACCATGCGATTGTAACCATGACTCTTTCTTATAGGACTGTATGATGTTTTAAAGAAATAATGTGATTTGATTTGAGTATGTACTATTCATTACTGCTGATGAAGCTACGGTGCTAGCAAAAGGCATCTAGAATTTTAAAAAAACGCTTTAAATAGTTCAATCACTATCATGAATACGATATATCGAAATCATTAACTATAACTATATATTATTGGCACATTGGGTTTTTCTGATTGTGCGATAAAAAAATAGTACTATCACATGTTGAAATTAGCCTTCAAATACGAAAGCCTCGATAAAAAATAGTGTCGGAATATTCTCAATGATAATTGTAATGAATATGTATATTGCACTCAAATATAACTCAATTACCTGTATTTCACGTTTCTTGCAGTGAACATATAACTCAAAGGAAACGTGGAGAAAATGATAGCAAATATCAGTGGTGCAAATTTATAAATCGAAAAGTTTGAACTGTCAACATTTTCACTGCACATTTTTGTGTGTACTGATGTGCTGCCTATAGAAACCCATAGTATGTATTACTATCCCCACTCTGCTGACGATATTGTTTTCCTCCAGTGAAAAGAAACGAATTTCGTTTTATTTTCAAATGATACAGTCCTGCAGATGAGTCAGTAACCTAACAAATGACCACTTGTTTGAAGGTGATTGACAATGTGTCATGACAAATTTAATTATTTCGGACTTCCATTGTCTAATATTATAAAAAATTATTTGAAATCCCTGAAAAAACCAGTAGAGAGAAGAATTTTAAAAAATAGCTGAAAATAACAATTATATTAAGCAATAACTATCAGAAATGAAATTACAATGAAATAAAATACAAATTAAAATAGAACAATTAAACAGAAAATGAGGAAACGAAAAAAATTTAAAATTGAGAGATTCCAAACCAAGTAACTTCACGAAGTTTCGATTGTTAGTATCCACAATCGTCCTTGGTCATCACCAGAAGACGATTGTGGATACTAAAAATCGAAACGTCGTGAAGTAACTTGGCTTGGAATCTTTTGATTATTTCTTTTGTATTTTGTTTGACTGTTCTATTTTCATTTGAAATTCATTTCATTGTAATTTCATTCCTGTTTTTCTTGCCTAATATAATTATTATTTTCAGCTACCCTTTTTTAATTTTTCTTTTTATTGGTTATTTCAGGGATTTCAAATTATTTTATAGAATATTAGACAATAGAGGTCCGAACTATTGAAACCACTTTTTCAACTGATTGCGTTCGTTTATCAATTTTTTTCATCTCTGGAAGGAAATTCTAAATTATTATGAATAATCTGAAATAGCAAAATCTAGACTGGTAGGCTGTGTTCGAGTGGAACCCGAAGTACCGGAAGAGTTTCGTCTGTTACTGCGGAAGACATCGCCAGTGGTATGTGTGTGGCTTGCAAGGAAGAAAGTTATATATCCATATATATATATATATATGGAGCCAGTCAGTCACTAGACGCGCAACATGTGGACGAGCATTATCGTGCATTAGGTTCATATATCCAGTCTTACTGATAAGGTCTGCGTAGCAGACGAAACGTTTTGTGATTCAGGTTCATTCATCCACTGCCTACCCGGATTTTGTTCTCTTTGATTGTTTTTGTCAATAACATGTGATGTGTAATTGACGCATCTATAGAAAATTTGGAAATCAAAATCGAAATTTTTAAAAAACTTTCCACTTACGGAAAGAAAACAATCTCGTCAGTAGAGTGGGGATATTGATACATAGTATATAGTATGTGTTTCTCTGCTCAGCACATCAGTACACACAAAAATGTCCGGTGAAAATGTTGACGGTGCAAAATTTCCGATTCATAAAGTTATTCCGTTGATATTTGCTATCATATTCGCCACGTTTTCTTTGAGCTATATTTTCACAGCTAGAGACGTGAAATACAGGTAATTAAGGTATATTCAAGGCCCAGCTGTGTATTTAACATATATATCACTATTATCGATAAGAATTTTCCGGCACTACTTCATATCGTGAAATTCGTAAATGGAGGTTGATTTGAAACTGAAATTCTATAATAGTTATCGTAATGGTATTCTTCTATCTGACGATCAGTAGGTTCCAATGTGATATCAAGTTGTTTTGACAGTGGGACATAATTAATATTTGGTGTCTACAGGCGGTTTTAGATAATTTCAATGATTATCACAAAATTGAATGATTCTGTAGCAAAATTCATTTCGTTTCAATTACCAAGTGATCATCTTCAAGAGGAAGATTGAACTGGTTTAAAATTCCTCTTGAAGATGATCACTTGGTGACTGAAACACGTAACGAGGTGTTGAAAATGACGGTTTGGTGTTGTGATTTAACTTTTGATATAACTGACATATACTTGTGTGATACTTCAGGTCAAATAAAATTTTTTGTGAATTCATATAATTAAGTTTCAATTCTAAATGTAGAAAATTCAAAATATGAAATGTAGAGGAGTACACAGTGTATAATAAACTAAAATCCAGGTGTGCCGAAATAATTATTTGAAAATTAAACAATCATGACACTTATCCACATATTAACACACATATGCATATATATATTCATTATGAGTTGTTAAAAAAAATCATTATCATCGTTTTGGTAGATTTTTTTTCTACTCCATTTCACTTGACTTCAAAACTAATTAATACAGTTCATTGTATGATTTTCACTATAAAGGGGTTTACAAAAAACGCGAAACTTGTTTCGCTATACACTAGCTTTCTGAAGCGAAAAATAATGATTTTTTGAAAATGATGATTTTTTCATACAATAAAATATTAATTAGTTCAAATATGGATTTTCATCAAGTATTGGCTAGTTCTATTCAATCATTTGACTTTGTTTGATAATTTTTCCTGGCAAATTTCTTGAAGATTGTGATTCTGTGTTAATGAATTCTTCAAAATGTATAGTTTTGCATAGAGTTTTCACGAAAAATGTCAGATATTCCTTGAAAGTTGTTATTCATTGTTGAGGAATTCTTCGGAGTGAATAGTTTTGCATAGAGTTGTTATTGAAGATGTCACAGGTTACTTAAAGATTGTCATTCTGTGTTGAGGAATTTTTAAATGAATAGGTTTTCTATACAGCGTTCTGAAAATTGTCAAGATATCGCATAGACACCAAGCAATACAGCTGAATTATGCATATACCTTCAATTTGCAATGAGTCGTCGACATATAGGACAAACAGAAAACGTCCCAAGATCGAGCCCTAGAGTACGTTAGATTATTCAGAAAAAAATCTTGTTGACAAAGTTAATGAACAAATATAAAAGAATACATAAATGTCATATGAATATAAAAATATAGATAAAATACAATGTAAACTCATGTATAAAAACCCTGAATAAAAAACCACAAACTATGGTTGAAACATACATGCACAATAAACATGCTAAGTTAAAAATGATTGGCCTTCTTCGATTGACGACTTGTTTATTTCGTGGAAATTCATGTTCACTGAGGATACACTACAAAAACACACTTTTGTCTATTTTCCACTATATTTCTTCATTGTTGACAGGTTTCGGCTATTACACCATTTTCAAAACTAACTGATTACATTTAAAGCTGAGTAATTTATAGCTAGGTTGCTTATTCTATCATAAATGATTTGATGTACCTGATATACCTGATACCCGGTATCTGCGTTTCATATACCTGTAAAATCAATGAACATAACAAAGCTTTCAATATAATGTAGGTTTTGGGAACTGGATTATAGGATCAGGAAAGGACTATTATTTAGATCAAGTTGTTCATACAGGACAATAGAATTGGGATTTTTCTTTGACCTGTTTATTTCCATAGATTCCAACAGATTCATTTTCAGATCATTTTTCCTTTTTCGCATGTGTGTAGGATCTTTAAATTATCTTTATCTATTTTATGTTTCGAATTTTGAAGATGTTCGTACATTAATGATTTTTCATCCGAAATGACATGTTCGTGGTACCTTGTATCAGAATTTCTCCCAGTTTGGTCTATATATATGACGAGGCATTATGATAGAATGAGCAACATAGGTATTAATTACTCAGATTCAAATGTAATCAATTAGTTTTGAAAATGGTGTAATAGCCGAAATCGGTCAACAATAAAGAAATATAGTGGAAAATAGACAAAAGTGTGTTTTCGTAGTGTATCCTCAGTAAAAATGATTGGAATGAAACTCAGTCAAACTGTAATACGGTCTACTACTCAAAATTTCTTCAATCATTTTTCTGTACTCATTGGAATCAATGTTCATCTCTTTAGTGTACCTAATTCGGAAAATGGTTATAAATCTTCACACCATTGTAAAATAAGGAGTCCTTGACCAGACAGTTGCAAGAAATTGGTAATTTTAAATTTTTTTGCACGCTCTGACGAGTTGTATAGTGATGGGTGGTAACCTCAAATTTCACAAGATGTTTCTTAATCAAACACACTGTTTCCAGAATGAAAAGAGCTACAACCGTCAAAATTTTTTTATCTATAAACAGTTGCCTGCATGAGTTACGAGGTTTAGGCTTTGCACAAGTATCGTATAGCTCTCTTCTTTAATACAAATACAGACTCCAGCAAATTAAGGCTAGACACACCCTAAAAAGGTATACCATACCTTAAGTGAGACTCTACCAAAGCGTGATATGCCGTTTTTGCAGTTCTCTAGCAATAACTCTCGCTGCATAACAGCCGGTGGAAATTTTACTTTTCATTTTCCTGATGTGAGCGTCAAATTTCAGTCCACCGTCTATATACAGCCCTAGAAATTCAGTACACTTTCTGTTCTCAATGATACCGCTCGCTACAGATAAATTCTGAATAACATTTGAAATTCATAATATTTGTTTTCGAAATATTGAGGGAGAGTAGATTGGAATCACACCAAGACTTGATTTTTTGTATATCATGAGCTATTGTCTCATAGAGACAATACCTCGTCCACTAGATGGAGTGACATTTTGTGATGTTCGCTCCAACTTCGGAAGAGGAATGAAATACTCTGAAAGAATTCCGATTTTCAATTCTGGAATATCATTGACTTTTGGTCGATGATGATCACTATCTTGCACTGACGAGTGGCTAATGAGCCCGAAACCGGTCTGCAAGTGTGCCCGTTCCAAAATTGAGGGTCGACTGTTTCAGTTGTATTGCCAATTGCATATGCAGGAAATTTTCTGTGAAGATTCCTGCACTGACGCCTGTCGGATATAATACAACGTGATATTAGCCAAGGGAGTAGTTATTTCCTACGACAGTCCATTAAACCTACTGTGTAGGTATATGGAACGTATGGCCTGAACGTTTAAAGTTCATTTGCTTTTCAGATTCATTGAGTATATCTATACCTTTACTATGCCTCAAAATGGGGAGTTCGGCCCTACACCGCAACCCGCATGGGTTTATTGTGGCTCACACCTATTCACACTCGATCAAATAAATCCAGCTTCTCAACTGAGCCGGTAAGTTTGTATGGTGAGTGGTTTTTTAGATCAGATGGTGAGAGAACGGCTTTGTCGAACTCTAAAAACCTGATTTGGTCCCGAGGGGGGGCAGGCACAACGTATGTGCTCTGCTGTTTCATTATTTTCCAAACGAGGCGACACACATTGTCTACCGACAGTCCGAGTCTCTGTATAAGATGATTCAAATGACAGTGAGCTGTAAGAAGTCCTGTTAGACTGTTTTGTATCAAGCTTCGAACGGTGAATAAACGCCTTGGAATAAGCCAATCCTTGAAGATTCAGCTGTTCAGTCTTTGTTTGGCAAAGCCTAAAGCAATGCCAATGACAGGTCCTGGTCCGATAAAGCTTCTTGCAGCGCCTTTCTTTGCAAGGAAGTCAGTAGCCTCATTGCCTTGCAGGCCAGTATGGCCGGTATAGTCCTGAAGTAAGTCAGGTTGAACATTTTTCAGCATGTAGAATTATCCATTACAGAAATACTATATTTCATCTCACTCACGTCAGGTAACAGACAATTTGAAAAAAATATTTATTATTTTTATTAAATGTTTACGCATCAGAAAGGCAACGCACACAACTCCCAACAAATATTCATATTCATTGTCACTGATTCCGCGATACGTGTATTTGCAAGCTGGAAAATGGAGTCGATTTACAGATATCAGATACCTGTTTTTGGTCTTCTTCTTTGAGAACATTTAGCTGATGAATGTTATTGTCCTTAGAATGTGACAATATATACATATCTCATGCGAACGGTCGATAATAAATCAAACCATTTCAAATCATTTTTATCTGTGCAGAAGAATATCTCCAATTTTTACACTGTGGAAATGTTATGCATTGATAGCGAAGTTCTAGCATAAGAGGACTTCAAACAGATCCCCTTGAATGTAAGGTTCGAATAAATATTCACATCACGCCATGTGCATTAATCTAGGCATTATACAGGTGAACAGTGTGTGAACTGTGAAAGGATGAGAGTCTGGCATGAATTGGGTTTTGTCTGAGTATTTAGGTATGCTCGGTGCTAGTAAATTAATCTTTAGGCTGTCTGGATACACAGAGTGTAACTAAATAAGTGTAAAACATTCAAGGAGGTGATTCCTCATCGGAAAATAGATAGGATCTTTTATATAAAGAAATTCCATTGGAGCATCCCTTGTTAAGATACAACCCCTTAAAAGGGGTACATAAAATTTGTATAAACTTTTTTTTCACAAGCACTAAATAAGTTACAATATTGAAATAACCCTGACGTTTCGTACTACCAAAAAGACACTTAGCCAGTCATTCATTTGGTTGTAAGGGGTGGAAAACGCAACCCCTAAAATTTATTTCCAATGTAACTTTTTGCCTTATTATTTGTTCACCATTTAAAAATTAATTTCCGATAGCCTGTTCCATTCTAAACAAAAAATGTCTCTTGGATTTTTTGCAGGTATAGCGAAACTT